GGGGTGGGCAAAAGCACTGTCAATAGACTGAACCCCAGTCTGAGTGTGATCTTGTTGTAATACCAAACTGTCTCTTCACAGAATATCCATTAAAATAAGCCAACAATCCCAATGGGGACCAAAAACACACCAGTTCTGATCCAGAGGGCTCATTAATATCAAAACTAGTAACATCCATCCATATAAGAATAACCATATTAATGTAGGTATTTTCCAACTTGGGGCTAGGAGGGGAAGCTGACAGTATAGGGCAATTATCATATCTAGATTTATTTTCTTTTTCATTCATGCATGGAAAAAATCTTTTTAAACAAATTTTCACTTTAGAATAAGTAAAGCTGAATAATGTGGGTGAGACAAGAAGAAGTGGAAAAAGCTATCTGTAAATCTCACAAATAAAGCAATTTTGTAAGATTCTGGATCCTTCAGTTTCTATTCATAGGGTTCTCATGCTTATCTCTGATGTGTGAACATTCCAGCTGTTAGAGTATCAGTGGTTCTAAGTGGTGTTTCTAACACCAAGATTCCTAAGCATCTTTATCTCAGGACCGTCCCAGCATGGAATGGTAAATGTTGCTTTGCAAGACAAAGGTTTTACATATAGTATAGAAGAACACTCCAAATCAAATTCCTTTGAAATGGGGACAAAGATCACATTTAAAAGTTCACATATCTCCTGATAACACCCTCACAGCTTACTACATGACATACAATTTTACAGTTGTGGGAGGGGAATCTACTATGAGAAGATGAAAGATGTGCAATGGAGAGAGAAATGTAATTTATATAATCCCCTTTTAGGAAACATGATCCTTTTGTCTGGACTTGAGACATCACTTCACCCATTAGCACTGTACTTGTCAATGTCATGAAGTCAGTTTGTAAGAGTCCTAAGATTCAAGAAACCACATTCATCTTCTTTCCACACATGTAACTCTAGGGATCTCAGAGAGATCAGAGCTGTTTGTACAGTTGTGGGGGTGATGCTACCCATAACAGTCCTCTTATTCAGCACTCGTCACTGCTTAGAAGCAAATACTTGCAAAGAATTATCAGGAACCAGAGGAGATACACTGGATTTTTTCCAACCTCTTAATATGACTGGACTGCTCAACTTTGGGTGGAAGTAGCTATCTGCATCTCCCTTACTTGGGGGGTCAGGCTAACCACAAGGCAGGGATGGAAAGGGCTAGTGCAGGCATAGAGGGGGAGCGTGTGTCAGACTTATTGAGAGGCACACCCTTATCTCAATGTAACACCTTACAGAGGTTCAGCCTCATCAAATGACTCCACCTGGGCCTCAGGTGCCATGACCAGTGGTGGACACTAGCTCAAGCTGGAGCAGATTATCTTCCCCAGGAGTCAGAGTGCTCTGAAGGCACATACCTCTGGGAAGCTAGGGTCTGCCAAGTGCATGGGGATGTGGTAAAAGTCAAAAGACAAGAATCAAAAAACCAGCTGTGCAGAGACGCAGGGTGCAAGATTTTGTTAATGTAAAGAGGAAGGGGAGAAGCTACCTTGGTCTAGTTTTAGTTCCTGGTTACATCCATATCTGAAGCTTTAACTGCTCTTCCTGTCTGTGCAACACCATGAGAAATATCCCTGGATATTAATCACAAACTCCCCAATTTCTACAACCCATTTGCTACAAGTAGTGCCTGAAATGTTTTAGCACCCTTCCCCATCTTTCACTCAGCTATCTCCAAGCCATTCTCCAGGTCCCAGCTTAACAGCACTTCCTGCAGGAAACCCTCCGGGACTACTCCTCAAACCTTGGCTCCACTTTTTATGGGTTTAAAAGGTAGCACTCCGCACCTCATCATAGTTAGGAAATGTGATTACTTTCCTGTTAGACTGTAAACACCAAAGCGTAAAAATCACTTTGATCCTACTGCTTAGCACACAGGTCAGGTACATGCTTAGTAACATTACTAAATGAATGAAAACCAAGAAACTGGTGAAGGTATGTAGGAGGAGTGAGAAGGATCAACACTGATAAACACCGCTCTGATAAAAATGAAGCTGCTTTGACCCTACCTTTCTGACCTCTTCCAAGTTTCTGGTTCCTCCTTCTTCCATCTCCACAACAGGCCCAAGCTGGCCATGAAAATCATCATGTTATACTTTGGGGCCAACACATTCAGGAACCCAGGCTGGAGGAAGCATGTTTCCAGGTAACTCGCTGTAACAGAGGAAAGTCTATACTAGTTTAGGAAAAAAGAATAATGACAGGTTTTGAGGTATAGACAAATCTCATTTCTGCTCTACATTTACTGGCTGTGAACCCTGGACAAGTTACCTGAGACCTGGTTTCCTTATCTGTAAAGTGAAAAAAATAATACCTCAAAGATGAGGATGAAAATGACTTTGAAACCACAGCACCTAAGGCAAGCATGCAACTAATGTTAGCCAGCTGGTCATGGTGAAGTCCACGCAGACCTCACACCTACACCCCACCCCCAGCTCCTACCAGCCACGGATGGGTTCAGAGCCCAGAGCCTACCCATCTGAGAGACGTGTTGGAGAATATCCAGTGTATGGGAGCCCTGAGAAGTGAAAGAGAAAAAAAGAAGCAAAAAGGAAGAAAGAGCATCTTAGGA